CATATGTTGCTCCCGAAGTGTTATGTGAACAACCATATACCAAAGCTGCGGACATTTATAGTTTTGGAATTATTATGTGGGAATTCACCTCTTTTCAATTGCCATATCTTGAATGTCCACATGATATTGATTTGGCAATTAGTATTTCTAATGGTTTGCGTCCAAAGCCGATTGAAGGAACCCCAATCTGCTATGTGGAACTTATGACACTATGTTGGAATTCTAATCCAATGAAGCGTCCTACGGCAGAATACATAGTAGATACACTGCAAATTTGGTTTGAAGGGTCAGATAAGAACTTTGTGAATCAATTTAAAGCCGCTGATGAAATTAATTTAGCTAATCCCGTACGAGAAATATCACAACTAGTTAACCAATCGGCCATTTTCACTAGTCGTCGTTTACCAACTATTCCTATGGTTAATGGTATGTTTTAGAATTGTATATTGTAAACCAACTGAATTTGCATGCGATCTAAATTTCCTATTTTCTTTTACAGATTACAGAACGCGTCAGTTCGATCTCATGCTACCTGAAGAAAATTAAATTAATGTTATATATTGTAAATTTACATAGTGTGTAACTATTCTCAGGAAGTATATAATAATAATTTATTGAATTAGTTAATTTAATTATCTTTATAAAGAAATATTGCAAAAAGCATTACTTTATTTTACATAATAAATGCTAATCAAAATACAGTATTGAATAAGTAAATATATTGTCTTAGTTCTAATTTAGACCAATTTAAAATGTTCCATCAGGATCGTATAATGAGAGAATAAATATTTGGATGTTTCACCATCATAAACTTATTTGATTAACCTAAAAAGCAATTAACGTTTGTCAAGCCATTCAATAACCTCAGTAACAGTAGAGATTTTGGCCACTCCATATTTTAAATTGCGCAAAGTTGCCTTTTATAAACAAGAAAAAGTTTTATAAGTAAAAAAAAGATAACGGATTTTACGAGAGATTGTTTTCTACCTTGTGCATCTCTTTGTTCTCAGTGGCAGTTGCATCTTTAAGGAAAATAATATTATAATCATGGTCAAAACCACCTTAAAAATTTGTAGAATATTGATATGAATGAATGATAAAAACTTTCACCTTGCATAATTATATACATTATGAAGGAAGGTTAACAGAGATTAATTATAATCATCAATTGTTCACATTCGCTCTCACATACCACTTCTCGTACAGACCGAATCATATATTGTGGAATAATACCATTAATCATCCTTAACCTTCCTCCATAATTCATTAAAATGTACTTACTTCTTGCAGTTGCTTCACAACATAAATTTGTCTCTGCACCAGCGATTATGAGTGTCTCAATACCAAGAGAAATGAGTAAGGAATCAAGTTCGGTTTTAAAAAAAGCATTATAACGAGTCTTGTTTTTGATAACGAAGTCAAGGGTATCACTTGAGGTTGAAGATCGCTGAAAGAAAGATTGATATATAATAGTTAAAATTGAAAATTAAAACCTAATTTGAATTAAAAAAATATAAGCACTAACCGAAATGAACGGCTGCAATTCTCTCAAAATTTTCCATTCTTCAGAGCCCCATCTTATACTACCTTCTCCCCACTTAAAATAATATAGATTTGTTACCCAAGTACTAATGAAATCGAAGGAACGAAATTAAGTTAAATACCCATCGTCCCACAGCACCTCCATCAAATTGGAGATTTCTGTGACCATGTTGTGTCCAAAAAACGGGAATCTCTTTTTCGTGACAAGTTTTGACAATTGATTGCACGTTTGGAATAATATCAATAACCTCGTTACGAAGCGATTCCTGTTTAGAAAAAGGTTTATAGAGGGTTATAAATTTTCGGAATTACAAATTTTCGGACAGATCACTTACTTGCATATCAACTACTAGTAAGGCAACCGTTTTTTGATCGTAAGAAATGGAGTTTGACATAGATCAGTATATAGATCTCTA